GAGAAGAGAAGCCAGAAATCTGACTGGCAAGAGATTCTTATCCTTTTGCTGGCATGCCAGGCCTCTGGGTTCCCTTTCCCTGAAATGCCCTAGTGATCCATCTTGTGGCACCATCACCCTGGGGGCTAAGCCGCATCATAAAGGAAAATTATTTTTTTGGTTCTGGACAGAGAAAAATACTTGTGGTAAAACACAGACATTAACCACTCTGCTTAGCATCCAATATCAAACTGGCAAGACTTAACTTTGCACGTATATGGGCCCCGTCATCTTTAATCCAACCTCTGACTTGGAGTTACAACACATGGTCTCTGGGCAAGATGGTTGCCCTGAGTAGTAGAAAACCTAAGAAAGGGAAAGGAGAGAGGGAAAAGCATTGCCTGTGGCAGGGTAGGGAAGACAAAATAATCAGGGAGGCCAGAGAAAGAACCAACCATTGCAGCGACACTGAAAAGTTCAGGCAGCTGCTTCTCAGTGGCAAAGGTATCTTTTCCATCAGCTCTCAAGTTTCCCCTTTTAGGGAGGAAAAAGCTCCCCAGGTCTCATCATCCTGTATATGCCTAACCCTGTCGTCCACAGCCATCAGCAAAGAGTGTAAGGCAGATTAATCCAAAGAGAATAGCAGTTAACATCCCATAATGCCAAACCTATTCTTAGCTGAGAGGGTCTTTACTGAGAGGGGCCTCAACCCCCCTAAATCTTAGATGGGAATCTAGCCCTCCTACGTTGGGGCTCTAACGCACGTTTGGTCAAGTGGTCTTGCCTTTTATTAAGAGGGTCCTCTAACCCACTCTGTCTTAGGAGAGATTCTAACTCACCTAGATTGGGCCTCTAACCCAGTCCCATTCTTTACCCGGGTACCCACCACTTACCCAATGTTGTCCCATCAGTGCTGCAGTCTATTTCCTTGGGTTGGGGTCTTCTCAGTATTGTCCCTTTTGTGGTTCATGAGAAAGATGTTACCAGACCCCACCACTTACCCAAAGTTAGCCTTTGGGTCGGGGTTTCTGCACTATAGTCCCTTTTGTGGTTACCAGAAATATGTTACAGGAAACGGGTCTCGATCCAGATCCCAATAGAGGGTTCTTGGATCTCGCACAAGAAGAATTTAGGGCAAGTCTGCAGTGCAAAGTGAAAGTAAGTTTATTAAGAAAGTAAAGCAATGAAAGAATAGCTATTCCATAGACAAAGCAACACCCAGGGCTGCTGGTTGCCCGTTTTTATGCTTATTTTTGGATAATATGTTAAATAAGGGGTGGATTATTCATGCTTCCCCTTTTTAGACCATATATGGTAACTTCTTGACATTACCAGGGCATTTGTAAACTGTCATGGTGCTGGTGGGCGTGTAGCAGTGAGAATGAGCAGAGGTCACTCTTGTCACCATTTTGGTCTTCTTAGGTTTTGACCAGCTCCTTTACTGCAACCGGGTTTTTTTTTTTTTGAAATGGAGTTTCGCTCTTGTTACCCAGGCTGGAGTGCAATGGCGCAATCTCGGCTCACCGCAACCTCCGCCTCCTGGGTTCAGGCAATTCTCCTGCCCCAGCCTCCTGAGTAGCTGGGATTACAGGCATGCGCCACCATGCCCAGCTAATTTTTTGTATTTTTAGTAGAGACGGGGTTTCACCATGTTGACCAGGATGGTCTCAATCTCTTGACCTTGTAATCCACCTGCCTCAGCCTCCCAAAGTGCTGGGATTACAGGCATGAGCCACCGCACCCAGCCTACTGCAACCGGTTTTATCAGCAAAGTCTTTATGATCTGTATTTTGTGCTGATCTCCTATCTCATCCTGTGATTTAGAATGCCTTAACTGTCTGGAAATGCAGCCCAGTAGGTTTCAGCCTTATTTTATACAGCTCCTATTCAAGATGGAGTTGCTGTGGTTCACATGCCTCTGATGGAAGGAATGGGAGAGGCACATTTCAGGCACTGGGGAAGATGCCAGCAAAAGAAGTATGTTAACTGCATGACCTGCTCAGGATAGGACAGGTTGTCTACTGTAAGCAAAAAACTTGGTGTGATAAAAAAGGCAACAGACCTCTTTAATAATGAGTGGTGGGGAAAACTGGGTTGAGGGAGAACTGGAGAGCCTGCCTGTCTAAAATAGTAGCTGTAACTCAGCACCAGATGAATATGGCCGAGAATAAGACTAGTGATCACTTTCATCTTTCCTTCCTAGAGAAACTGGGAATATTAAATTTTAAAATGTGATTTTGCTAAGGTCTAAATGTTAGTGACCCCCCCCCCAAATTTTCATGTTAAAATCCTAACTCCATAAATTGATGTTATTAGGAGGTGGGGCCTTTGGGAAGTGATTAGGTCATGAGGGTAGAGTCTTCACGAATGGTATTAGTGCCCTTATTAAAAAAAATTAGCCAGGCATGGTAGCACATGCCTATAATCCCAGCTACTTAGGAGCCTGAGGCAGGAGAATTGCTTGAACCTGGGAGGCGGAGGTTGCAGTGAGCCGAGATTGTGCCACTGCACTCTAGCCTGGGCGACAGAGCGAGACCCTGTCTCAAAAATAAAACAACAAAAAACCCCCACAAGAAACAAAAACAAACCCAGAGTTCCCTTTTCCCTTTTACCATATGAGGACACAGTGAGAAGGTGTGAACCACTGAAGCTGCCATGCAGCAAGACCATGCCAAAATGCAGGCCCTTTTGTCCTGGACCTCCCAGCTTCCATAACTGTGAGAAATAAATTTCTGTGGCCAGGCATGGTGCCTCACACCTGTAATCCCAGCACTTTGGGAGGCTGAGGCAGGAGAATCAGGTGAGGTCAGGAGTTTGAGACCAACCTAGCCAACAGTGTGAAACCCTATCTCTACTAAACCCCATCTCTACTAAAAATACAAAGTTAGCCAGATGTAGTGGTGGGTGCCTCCATGAAAAAAAAAAAAAAAAAAAAAAAAGGAAAAGAAAGAAAGCAAGCCTCATGGCCTAATCACCTTATACAGTCCCGCCCCTTAATAATATCACAATGACAAATTTCAACATTCTTTTTGGTGGGGGTGGGGTGGACATTCTCACCATGGCAGCTACCAAAGGGAGCAAGCAGCTGGCATTCTTTTCTCATTCCTCCACCTTTTTTCTTCAAACATTGAAATGATGGCTAGTGCTTTAGCAGCAACATTGGGCCAAGAGGCAGCCTTGAGAATGGAAGCTGCATTAGTCAGCTCAGGCTGCTATGACAAAATGCAACAGACTGGGTGGCTCAAACCACAGCAATCTATTTTCTCACAGTCCTGGAAGCTGGAAGTGGATCCAAGAGCAAGGTGCTGGCAGGGCTGGTTTCTTCTGCATCCTTTCTCCTTGACTTGCAGCTGCCCCCTCCATTGCATCCTCACATGGTCTTTCTTCTGTGCACACCTCTAGCATCTCTTTGGTGTCCAAATTTTCTCTTCTTACAAGAACACCAGTCAGATTGGACTAGGGCCCACCCTAAAGGCCTCATTTTAACTTAATCACCCATTTAAAGGCATTATCTCTAAATACCATCACATTCTGAGGGATGGTGGTGGAGGTTAGGGTTTTAACATAAATTTGGGGAGACACAATTCAGTCCATAATAAGAGAAGATCAAGAACTTTCATTTTTTCCTGAAAGGAAGTTGAGAACTGTGTGCAGGGGGTTCCATCACAATTAGAAGCCCTGGGTTTTCTGTTCTAAGCTATTGTATGGCCTTCCATTGAGACTTAGAGATAATCAAGTAAACCTCTCAGATTTTTTTTTTTAATTTGTAAAATCGAAGTAATAATACCTAGCTTATTTATCTTACAGCATTTGGTGAAGATCAAATAAAATAATGAACATGAAAATGTTTTGAAACACATGAATTGGCCAGGCATGGTGGCTAACATCTGTAATCCCAGCACTTTGGGAGGCCAAGGTGGGTGGATCACGAGGTCAGGAATTCGAGACCAGCTTGGCCAACATGGTGAAACCCCGTCTCTACTAAAAAAAATTAGTTAGGTGTGGTGGTGGGCACCTGTAATCCCAACTACTTGGGAGGCTGAGGCAGGAGCATTGCTTGAACCTGGGAGGTGGAGGTTGTAGTGAGTCAAGACCGTGCCAATGCACTCCAGTCTGGGTGACAGAGCCAAACTCCGTCTCAAAAGAAAAACATGAGTTATCTACATAAATGTTCCTAAAGTCATTTGTTTACCTCCTTTGCCCTGTGTATCACATGTATTTTGATTTTTCTAACTTAGATTTTAAACTAAAAAATTTTTCTAACTTAGTTGTTTATTTAAAACCTTTTAGTTAGAATCATAAAAGCAACATAAAATAGAAAGGAAAGCAATATAACATTATTAAATACTAGCTAATTACTGTTAAGTGCTAAAACTTTGTCTCTGTTAAAAAGGAGACACAATTAGGGAAGGCTTAAAGTCAAACTAGTATCAAACAGAGACTTCAACTTTAAAAATATTAGAAGAGCTAAAAAAAGATTGGAAAAGAAAGAACGTTCTCATGGTTCAATGAAATTGATTTATTTATTTAGAGGCAGTGTCTTGCTCTGTTGCCCAGGCTAGAGTGCAGTGCAGCTTACTGTAATATCTACCTCCTAGGTTCAAGCGATTCTAATGCCTTAGCCTCCTGAGTAGCTGGGATTACAAACATGCACCACCAGGCCCAGCTCATTTTTTGTATTTTTAGTAGAGACAAGAATTCTCTATGTTGCCCAGGCTGGTCTCTAACTCCTAACCTCAGGTGATCTGCCCCCCTCAGCCTCCCAAAGTCCTGGGATTATAGACGTGAGCCACCTCATCTAGCCAAAATATTATTTAAATATCATAGCTATGTGATATGGTTTGACTGTGTCCCCACCCAAATCTCATCTTCAGCTGTAGCTCCCATAATCTCCACGTGTCATGGGAGGGACCCAGTGGGAGGTAATTAAATCATGGGGTGGGTTTTCCCATGCTGTTTTGTGGTAGTGAATAAGTCTCATGAGATCTAATGGTTTTATAAGGGGCAGTTCCCCTGCTTTCTTGCCTGCCATCATGTAAGACGTGCCTTTGCTCCTCCTTTACCTTCTGCCAGGGTTGTGAGGCGTCTCTAGCTATGTGGAACAGTGAGTCCACTAAATCTCTTTTTCTTTATAAATTACGCAGTCTTGGGTATTTCTTTATAGCAGTATGAAACTGGACTAATATACAATGTAGTATGCTCTTACCCTTAAAAAACATTGATGTATAAGAACATGTTATCCTATGGAGTGGTTTCCCCAGGGAAGTGAGGAAACCAACAGTTTGTGAACAGTTGTTTGTGCCAGACTCTGTGGGAACCCCTATACCCCTTATGGAGGCCTAATAATAATCAGTTGAGATGGGTGTTACTGTCTAGTTTTCACTTGGGAAAATGGGGGGTCAGGGTCTAGGTGACTGACTCAACACAGATGCCAAGAGGAGTCATTCAGAGGCAAGGTGAACTGAGGTGTGGGTGCACAGGCTCCAAACCCCGTGGTCACTCCCATCCCACTTTATAATGCCATGATCCGGGTTTCCTTATGATATCTTTAAGGAATGCTGCCATTGTCCCTTTTTGAGATGTGGTCATCAGAAAAAGTCAGTACAGTGCATTGGTTGAAAATATAGTCTCGGGAACCAGACTGCCTCTTATCAGCTGTGTGATTTTGGGCAAGTTACTCAGTTTCTCTGTGCCCCAGACTCCTAAGGGATAATAATAGTGCCCATTTCAAACACTTGTTTTGAGGATTAAATGGGCTGATAATATGTTAAGTGTTTAAAGTATTGATAGCACATACTTTGCTCTATCTAAGTGTTAATATTATCCATGCTTTATATTGTGGCTACCATGTTATGCTTGGGATAGGATGCTCAGTGCTCCATACTTGGTTATGAAGATAGCTTGCAAAGGCATCTCCTCTTCAAAGCATATTTTACCTCTTTATTCCTCAGGCTGTAGATCAGAGGGTTCAGCATGGGGATGACCACAGTGTAGAAGACAGAGATGACCTTGTTGTTTTGTTCCATGGACTTATGAGAGCTTGGCTGAGCATACATGAAGGTGACGGCCATAAAAGAGGCAAATGATGCTGAGGTGGGAGGCACAGGTGGAGAGAATTTTGCTCTGGGCCTCCAGGGAGCGCATCCTGCAAATGGTCACCAGGATGTCGGCATAGGAGACTAGGATAAAGGTGATGGTAAAGAGGATAAGCAAGGCACAAGATGAGAAGATAATGGTCTCAACCTCAGTAGTATCTGCACAGGCAAGATAGAGCACAGCGGGGATGTCACAGAAACATTGGGGCCACAGTAGGAAAGCTTAAAGATGCACCCAGAGAGCAAAGCTGAAATGGCAGCCGAAACAGTATAGGAGGTCACCACCAGCAGCACACACAGATGTTGGGACATAATAGTGTGATAGAGGAGAGGGTGGCAGATGGCAGTGAATCGGTCATAGGCCATGATGGCTAGGAGCAGACACTCAGCAGTACCAGGGAGGGTCATGAGGGCCATCTGGACCACACAGCCTGCAAAGGAGATGGATTGGCTTGAGACAAGGAAGCTCTCCAGCAGCCTGGGGGTGTCCACCGTGGGAAAGGAGGAGTCTATGAAAGAGAGGATGCTTAGGAAGAAGTACATGGGTGTGTGGAGCTGTGGGTCTGCATGGATCAGGGTGATCATTCCCAGGTTGCCCACGACAGTGACTGAATATATGAACAGAAAGAGCACAAAGAGGATGCCTTTGAGGTCCTCCTGCTCTGTAAGTCCCAGCAGGCGGAACCAGGTGACTTGGGTGTGGTTCTCCACCATGGTGTGCATGTCACTGCAGAGAGAACAAATAAGATATGCATGTACCCTAGAGTTAGGGTCAGTACCCAAAGCTTTTTAAATATCCTCAGGACAGGCAGTATAATGGGAAGAGGGAGAAAAATTACCAAGAACTGAACACCTGGTATGAGCCACATGTTAACTCATTTTTAAAGCAGCTGTTTAAACCTCATACATACCTTGTGTTTAAATATTGTGTCCATTTATATTTAATGAGATGATCAACTTATCTAAGGTCACAAAGCTAGTACATAAGAAAAGTGGAATTAGAACTCAGTCTGACCAGGCACAGTGGCTCACGCCTGTAATCCCAGCACTTTGGGAGGCCGAGGTGGGTGGATCGTCTGAGGTCAGGATTTCAAGACCAGCCTGGCCAACATGGTGAAACCCTGTCTCTAGTAGAAATACAAAAAAATTAGCCGGGTATGGTGGCACACACCTTAGTCCCAGCTACTGAAGAGGCTGAGGCAGGAGAATTGCTTGAACTGGGAGATGGAGGTTGCAGTGAACCCTGCACTATATCCTGGGTGATAGAGCGAGATTCCATCTGAGAAAAAAAAAAAAAAAGAACTCAGCCTGTTCTAGTAATTGTTGTATCCTTACTATGTTGTTAGAATCATTTTCTGTTCCTGAATTTTCTGTTCTATAGGGAACCAGCATCTGCAGTGGTATTGGAGGCCTGGTCTGTTGCCTCAGAAAAGGAATAATTGAAAGGATCAGTGTGGGTCATATTTGGAAGCAAAGACTCCAACAGTGCTAGTCCCCTAGGCCTAAGACACAGGAAATCAGATGCCTTGAGTCATTAGAATGTGCAGTGACTCAGCAGAGCAGTAATTTCTCTGTGTTGTGTGTTGAATTGTAGCTTCCAAAAAGATATACTGAAATCCTAACCCCTGGTACCAGTGACTGTGAACTTATTTGGAAGCAGGATCTTTGCAGATTTAATCAAGTTAATGTGAGGTCACACTTGATTAGGGTGAACCCTACTCTAACATGATTGATGTCATTATAAGAAAAGAAAACTGGCCAGGCACAGCGGCTCACTGCTCCGGGCCAGTTTTCTTTTCTTATAAATCCAGCACTTTGGGAGGCCAGGGTGGGCCAATCACTTGAAGTCAAGAGTTCAAGACTGGTCTGGCCAACATGGTAAAACCCTGTCTCTATGTAAGATACAAAAATCAGCCTGGCATGGTGGCAGGCACTTATAATCCCAGCTACTCTAGAGGCTGAGGCAGGAGAATTTCTTGAACAAAGGAGGTGGAGGTTGAGCCAATATTGTGCCATTGCACTCCAGCCTGGGTGACAGAGTGAGATTGTCTCAAAAAAAAAAAAAAAAAAAAGAGAAAAGAAAACAGAGATATAGGAGGACAGCATCATGGGAAGAGACAGATGAGGGAAGATGGCCATGTGAAGCTGAAAGCAGAGATAGGAGTTAGGCTGCCATAAGTCAAGGAATGTCTGGGGCTTCCAGAAGCTGTCGGAGGCAAGGAAGGATGCTCCTTTAGAGGATACAGAGGGAGCATGGTCCTGCCACATCTTGGTTCCAGGCTTCTGGCCTCAAGAACTGCAAGAGAATACATTTCTTTTGTTTTAAGCCACACAGTTTATGTTAGTTTGTTATAGCAGCCATAAAAAATGAATACACCCAGTTAGGGATGGTTCTGCTTGGTGAATATGTGGTGCTTTGAGAGAGACTTCTTGGGTAATTGTCAGAAGATGGGGCTTTACTGATTTCTCTCAATTTACTGAACTAATAATCCACACAGAGGAAATGAAATAAACGAAAACAGATGACCGCCTCAAGATGGCTGACTAGAGGCATTTTATGTTTGCCTCCTCCGCTAAGAAGAACCAAAACAGAGAGCAGATAATCACACTTTGATTAGATTACCCAGGAGAGAGCACTGGAATTCAACAGAAAAGTGACAGGAAATACCCCAGGCAAAGAAGGAATCCTGAGATCTCTGTTTGGTAAGATTGGCTGGGAGCTGAGAGAGGTTCCCAATACAGGAAAAGGTAGTCCACATTCCAAATGAAGACTCCTGAAATCCTAGCCGTGGGAGAGACCCTTGACCCTCACAAGGCCCTGAAATGAACACAGGGAGGTGCTGGTGAGATTGTGTGATGGCAGTACCTCAGGGAGGGAGCTTGCACTGGGTCCCGCACGCTTTCTGAAATCTAAGAAGCTTCAGCAAGTTGCCATTTTAGAGCACCGCCCCCAATAGATTGCACACTGTCCTGGAGTCCAGGGGCCTGACGTGGCCCCTGGGGCTTAGGTGAGAAAGCTACCACACCAGGGGCTGAGGTACAAGCAAAGTGTTGACTACTGCTGTTGGAGCTGAGGAATGAGAAAGGTACCATTTATTTATTTATCTGAGTTGGAGTCTCGCTCTGTCACCCAGGCTGGAGTGCAGTGGTGTGATCTTGGCTCACTGCACCCTCTGCCTCCCGGTTCGAGCAATTCTTCTGCCTCAGCTGGGATTACAGGTGCGTGCCACCACACCCAGCTAATTTTTTGTATTTTGAGTAGAGACGGGGTTTCACCATGTTAGCCAGGATGATCTCGATCTCCTGATCTCATGATCCAGCAACTTTGGCCTCCCAAAGTTCTGGGATATCAGGCATGAGCCACCACGCCCGGCCGAGCAGGGTACCATTTACTCCAGCTGGGTTGTGGTGCAAGCAGCACATGTGTTCCCCAGCTGCCAGCCTAGGCTGCCCACCACTGAAGACAGCATGCCCTCTCCAGTGGCAGAGCAGCAGTGCGGCTGCTGCTGCTCCCCACTTGAGCATTCTGCCAGTGATCTAAAGATTGTCCTGCTCCTACCTACCACAGCCTTGCCTGCATTCCAGCCAGACAGAGCTTAAGGACAAGTCTGTCTGGCCTGGCTTAACCCCTACCTCTTTTGCCAGACAACATAGCCTGGGGGCCAGTAAATTGTCCAGCCTAGGCTACCACCATTGGCACCTGAACTCTCTACTCAGCTGCTATCACCATAGCTGACACATATCACCTGAAGGCCCCGAGACCAGCCTATGCAACCCATTGTAGCCACCGCCAACACCAGTACAGACCATTTCGGACCAGAGGATTGTCTTACCACTGCTATTGTCATTGTGCATGTCATGCTGGCTGCCCAGGGGCCCAACAACCCATCCACTTGCCCAGCACATTGCTGCTACTACCCGGGACCACTGCTGCTAGTACCCCAATAAGTCACCTGATTGCCCAAAGATTGGCCCTCCTGGGCCCACTGACACTGGAGCCAGCATACACTTTCCTGCAGCCCAATGACAGACATGCTCAGCCCATTGCTGCCACCACTGGGGCCCCAACTGTGACCTATCTTGTGTCCCAGTCATGTACTGTCATGGGGCCCAAGGACAGACATACTCAGCCCACTGCTGCTACCACTGGAACCCAAACTCTGATATACTTGACTGTCCCACTATCTACCACAGCCTCCACTAATAACTGTACCCTATGCCACCAAGGAAATCATGGATACTACTGATGCTGTTTATAGCCAAAGAAATAATATGGCAACTATATAAGGATGGTTCAACATATGCAGATCAATCATACATCATATCAACAGAATGAAGGACAAAAATCATAGGATCATTTTAATTGGTGCTGAAAAAGCATTTGATAAAATCCAACATCCCTTCATAATAAAAACTCTAAAGAAGTGGATATAGAAGAAACACACTTCAACGTAATAAAAGCCATAAAAGGCAGACACATAGGTAGCATCATATTTAATAGGGAAAAACTGAAAGCCTTTCCCCTGAGATCTGGAATACCACAAGGATGCCCACTTTCACCACTGTTAATCAGTATAGTATTGGAAGTCTTAGCTAGAGCAATCAGAGAAGAAAAAGAAATACAGGGCATCCAAATTGGAAAGGAAGAAGTCAAATCATCCCTGTATATAGATGATATGATCTTATATTTGGAAAAATCTAAAGACTCTACCAAAAACCTATTAGAATGGATAAACAAATTCAGTAGTTGCAGGATACAAATCAACATGTAAAAATCATTAGTATTTCTATATGCCAACAGCAAACAATCTGAAAAAGAAATCAAGAAAGTATTCCAATTTATCATAGCTACAAATAAAATTAAATACTTAGGAATTAATCAAAAAAGTGAAATTTCTCTACAATGAAAACTATAAAACATTGGAGAAAGAAATTGAAGAGGACACACACACACACACACACACAAATAGAGATTTTGTGTTCATGCATTGGAATAAATATTATTGTTAAAGTGTCCATACTACCTAAATCAATCTAAAGATTCAATGTAATCCCTATCAACATGACAATGACATTCTTCACAGAAATAGAAAATACAATCCTAAAATTTATATGGAAACACAAAAGACCCGGAAGAGCCAAAGCTATCCTCAGCAAAAAGAACAAAACTGGAGGAATCACATGACTCAACTTCAAATTATACTATAGAGTTACAGTAACCAAAACAGCATAGTACTGGCATAAAAACAGACACATAGACCAAATTCATACATCTAGAGTGAACTCGTTTTTAACAAAAGTGCCAAGAAGATACATTGGGGAAAGAATAGTCTCTTCAATAAATGCTGATAGGAAAACTGAATACTCACATGTAGAAGAATGAAACTAAGGGAGAAGTTTATATTAATGAACGCCTGTATCAAAAAAGCAGAAAAATTTCAAATAAACAATCTAATGATATATCTTAAGGAACTAGAAAAGCAAGAAAAAAATCCAAGCCCAAAATTAGCAGAAGGAAATGAATGATAAAGATTAGAGCAGAAGTAAACAAAGTAAAGACAAAAAAAAAAAAAAAAAAAGCAACAACAACAACAAAAACTGCCACCAACAAAAAACTAAAACAAATGATCAATGAAACAAAAAGTTGGTACTTGGAGAAGATAAACAAAATTGATAAACTGCTAGCTAGATTAACCAAGAAAAGAAGGAGGAGGATCTACATAAACAAAATCAGAAATGAAAAAGGAAACATTACAACTGATACCATAGAAATACAAAACATCACCAGAGACTATAATGAGTCTAACCAAATGGGGAAACCTGGAGAAAATGGATAAATCCCTGGCAACATTCAACCTGTCAATATTGAATCAGGAAGAAATATAAAACCTGAACACCAATAATAAATAATGAGATTGAAACAGTAATAAAGAAACTTCCTGGCCAGGTGCAGTGGTGCATACCTATAATCCCAGCATTTTGGAAGGCTGAGACAGGAGAACCACTTGAGACCAGGAGTTTGAGATCAGCCTGGGAAATGTCGCAAAACTTTGTCTTCATAAAAAAATATAAAAAATTAGCCAAGCATGGTGATGGGCACCTGTAGTCCCTGTTACTTGGGAGGCTGAGGTGGGAAGATGGCTTGAGCTCAGGAAGTTGAGGTTGCAGTGAGCCATGATGGCACCACTGCACTCCAGCCTGGATGACAGAGGGAGACCCTGTCTCAAAAACAAACAAATTAACAAACAGACAAACAAGTTTCCCAACAAAGAAGAGCTAAGGCTGGATGAAAGATAATATTTACAAGTAGGATTTATACCAGGGAAATGATGTGGTTTAACCTATGCAAATTAATAAATGTGATATATCACATGAACAGAATGAAGGACAAAAACCATATGGTTATCTCAATAGACACAGAAAAAGCATTAATTTTTAAAAATTTTATTATATTAAAAAAAATAGAGATGGGGATCTTTCTGTGTTGCCCAGGCTGGTCTTGAACTCCTGGCCTCAAGCAATCCTCTTGCTTCAGCCTCTCAAAGGCCTGGGATTAGAGGTATGAGCCACCGTGCCTGACCAAACAAACGTTTGATAAAGTTCAATGTCCCTTCAAGATAAAAACTTTCAACAAACTAGGCACAGAGGAAAATAATAAAGGCTATATATGACAAACACACAGCTAACATTATATAGAATGGGGAAAAGTTGAAAGCCATGCCTCTAAGAACTGGAACAGGGAAGGATGCTCACATTCACCATCCTATTCAACATAGTACTAGAAGTCCTATTCAGAAAAATCAGGTTAAAACCAACAAACAAATCCAAATTGGAAAGGAGGAAGACAAATTGCCCCTCTTTGCAGGTGACATCTCTTATATTTAGAAAAAGCAAAATACTCCACCAAAAACTTACAGAGATGATAAGCAAATTTAGTAAAATTGCAGGATACAAAGTCAACATACAAAAAATTGGTAGTGTTTCTATATTTCAACAATGAAATAGCTGAAAAGAAAATCAAGAAGACAGTCCCATTTATAATAGCTACAAAAGATGAAGTAAGCCAGATGTGGTGGCATATGACTGTAATCTCAGTACCTTGGGAGGTCGAGGCAGGAGGATTGCTTGAAGTTGGGAGTTCAAGACTGGCCTCGGCAATAGCAAGAGCCCATCTTTACAAAAAGTAAAAAAAAAATTATTATGCTGCGTGTGGTGGTGTGTATCTATCGTCTTAGCTACTTGGGAGGCTGTGGTGGGAGGATTGCTTGAGCCCAGCAGTCCGAGATTGCAGTGAACTATGATTGTGCCACTGCACTCCAGTTAAAATACCTAGGAATCAGTTTAACCAAGGAAGTAAAGGATCTCTGCAAGAAAAACTACAAAACACTGAGGAAAGAAATTAAAGAGGACTGGAAAAATTAATGTAGTTAAAATGAATATATTGACCAAAGCAATATACAAATTGAATGCAGTCTTTATAAAAATACCAATGTAATTTTTCACAGAAATAAAAAATATAATACTAAAACTGATATAGAACCAAGAAGGAGTCAAAACAGCGAAAGCAGTTCTTAACACAAAGTAGAAAGCTAGAGGCATCACACTACTTGACTTCAATATATACATAAAATATTTTTTAACCCTCACCTCCCTCCCACCTATTGGTCTGAATCCCAAAAGTCCATTGTATCATTCTTATGCCTTTGAGTCCTCATAGCTCCCCCTTATGAGTGAGAACTCAGGAGTTGAATCATACAATGTTTGCTTTTTCATTCTTAAGTTACTTCACTTAGAATAATGGTCTGCAATTCCATCCAGGTTGCTGCAAATGCCATTGTTTTGTTCCTTTTTATGGCTGTGTAGTATTCCATGGTGTGTGTGTGTGTGTGTGTGTGTGTGTGTGTGTGTGTGTGTACTACATTTTCTTTAATAGATTGATGGGCATTTGGGCTGGATTTATATTTTTACGACTGTGAATTGTGCTGCTATAAACATGAGTGTGCAAGTATTTTTTTTTAATGACTTCATTTGCTCTGGGTGAATACCCAGGAGTGAGATTGCTGGATCAAATGGAATACCCAGGAGTGAGATTGCTGGATCAAATGGTAGATCTACTTTTAGCTCTTTAAGTAATCTCCACACTGTTTTCCATAGTGGTTGTACTAGTTTCCACCAACAGTATATAAGTGTTCCCCTTTCACCACACCCATGCCAACATCTATTATTTATAATTTTTGGATTATGGCCATTCTTGCAGGAGTGAGTAAGGTGGTATCACATTGTGGTTTTGATTTGCATTTCCCTGATAATTAGTGATCAACATCACTATTCATCATGGAAATGCAAATCAAAACCACAATGAGATATCATTTTACCCTACTTAGAATGGCTATTACCGTTATTATCTTTTTGAGACACAGTCTCATTCTACTGCCCAGGCTGGAGTGCAGTGGCAAAATCTCTGCTCACTGTAACCTCTGCCTCCCCGGGCTCATGCAATTCTTGTGCCTCAGCCTCTTGAGTAGCTGGGATTATAGGCATGTGCCACCATGCCCCACTAATTTTTGTATTTTTAGTAGAGACAGGGTTTCATCATGTTGGCCAGGCTGATCTTGAACTCCTGGCCTCAAGCAATCAGCCCACCTAAGCCTCCCAAAGCTCTAGAATTATAAGCATGAGCTATCGCACCCAGTCAAGAATGGCTATTATTAAAAAGACAAAAAATAACAGATGTTGGTGAGTATGTAGAAAAAAGGGAACTCATATGCTGTTGGTTGGAATAATGAAGATTTCTCCAAAAATGAAAAATAAAAGTATCATATGATCTAGCAATCCCACTACTTTTTGTGTATCTATCCAAAAAAAAGAGAAATCAGAATAATTAAAGGCATACCTCCACTCGTATGTTTATTACAGCACTATTCACAATAGCAAAGATATGGAATGAATGTAAGTATCCCTTAATGGATATGGTAAAGAAAATGTGGTGTGTATACAATGGAATGCTTTTATTTAGCCATAAAAGCAAAATCATGTCACTTACAGAAACATGGATGAAACTGGAGGTCATCATGTTAAGTGAAATAATGCAGGCACAGAGAAACAACTACTACATATTTTCACTCAAATGCAGGAGCTAAGAACTTGATGTCATGAACATAGAGTATAGACTGATGGTTACCCCAGGCAGGGAAGAATGTGAGGGTGGGAAAGAGAAATGAAGACAAGTTGGTGAATGCATCCATATTTATAGTTAGATAGAAGAAATAAGTTCTAATGTTTGATAGCAGAGTAATGTGACTATGGCTAGCAAAAATATGTTGTATATTTCAAAATAGCGAGAACAGAGGACTTGAAATGTTGTCGACATATAGAAATGACAAATACTCAAGGTGATGGGTAACTCACATACTATAACTTGATCAATACACATTCTATGTCTGTTAAAAATACTCATATGGACCCCATAAACATTACATATCAATTAAAAAAAAAGAAAACAAAGTCTGTGTTATTGTTCATTCATAAGAAAAATATCTGACTGTGAGAACAAGTAGCTACAGCAAATATGGAATTCTAGTTTGACAAAACTATGTCAAAGAACTAAGGGCTTTTGTTTTGGCCAAGAACAACTGAAGGCAGTAGAACACGCCAGACTTGTGGCTTTGGCATCCAGTGAAGGATACAGTTCTTTTTTTTTTTTTTCTCTTGACTTTTATTTGATTTCAGGGAGTACATTTGCAGGTTTGTTACATGGGCAAATTGCATGTCACTGTACAAATGATCCTATCACCCGGATAGTGAGTATAGTATCCAATAGATAGGTTTTCAATTCATGTCCTCCTCCCAACCTCCTCCATCAAGTAGTCCCCAGTGTCTGCTGTTCCTATCTTTGTGTCTACATATATTCAGTGTTTAGCTCCCTCTCGTAAGTGAGAACATGCAGTATTAGGTTTTCTGTTCCTGTGTTAGTTTGCTTGGGATTATGGCCTCCAGCTGTAACCATGTTGCTGCAAAGGACATGATTTTGTTCCTTTTCATGGCTATGTAGTATTCCTTGGTGTGTATATAACTGCATTTTCTTTATCCAGTCCATCGCTGATGGGCATAGGTTGGTTCTCTATCTTTGCTGTTGTGAATAGTATGTAGTACAATGAACATATGAGTGTATGAAGGACACAGTCCTTATGGCAGAATGGGAGGTGGAGATCACTAGGCAGGGAGCAAAGGTCAAAGGGCCTACCCTCTTCAGCTCCCTAGGAGGGCTCTCATGCCAGTGAATCTTCTCTCCAGTGTTCTCATACTCCCACGAATTTGCCTCTTGGGATCCTCATCATGTAGGTTTTTAAATTACCAAGGGTAAGATCCTGTAGAGCATAATGGTCAGTGTCTGCTCTGATTGCTTGGTTGTCTGTTCTGATTGTGTGCTGCCCATGGTATACCGGTTGTCAAATGACTGGGAGTAAAGAAGGAATAGGGCAGAACCTCTTTTAGAGCATCCTGGAGTAGCCAGAAATAGGTGGCCTCAAATCAGAGCCTGTAATGTGTTTTTGTGCTAACACCATCTTATTGACAACTTCAGGCCTTTTGAAATGTAAACAATTTGAGCAGATTTTAGCTGTGGAGCTCACCAGAGGGGATGCTTCTTTACTCATGAGGTTTCCCTTCATATGGAGGGATATCTATTGTATAATATTCTTACCCCCCTCTCTTGGAGGGTAAATGCCTTATGTGATCAGTGGTTTCATGTAAGAGATTGGGTTTGTATAGTTCTGCTCTGCCTTCTTTGCTCCTTGGAAGCATAGTTCTGCTCTTCTGTAATGTAGATCTTAAAACTGGTCTTTAAGTTTGTCTAATTCTGCAGTTCAGTTTTAAGACCACTCATCTACAGGTATAAATCATGTTTCACATTAAAAAGTTTTATTAGTGATGCAGGTAATATTTTGCCCCCTATCTGCCTTGCTTCTATATCTTATCTCTTAATTCATTCAGAATTTGCATGGGAAAGAGAGACACTATTTATTGTGGCCCTTAAAGACCTCAGCAGAGAGAAAACAAGAAGGAAGCTGGCAGGGACAATTTGCCTAGCTTGTCTCTTCAATGAGTCCATTGGCTGGGCTCACACATCTCTAGCAAACTGATATGGTTAAGGAATGAGTTGGCTGTAACAATGGGGCATGATGTGTGATGAAGCCTTGGAAAACTCCGGATTCACAGTAATAATTCCTGATTGAAAGCGCAGGAGAATTAGCTTCCTCCAATTCTCCTGCTGAGACTTTGATGAGGGGCTGCCATGACAATGAGAACGTACTTAGGCTGAAGAAGTGTTCTCACATGACAGGAGAGAGAAGGCTTATTAAGGTCAGAAGAGGGGAAGTTCATTTAGGTGGAGGCCATCTGAAGATGGGAGAATCTCTGAGGATTTCTGAAGATCTGCTGTTTGCATGGATCTGTTACAGAACCATGGATGGGTTCCAGTTCTCTCTCTGATAGCTCTGATCTTTTCTTGAGAACACTAAGGAACTCACTGGTTTGGGCTATAACTTGTATTCCTTGATAGTTGTCTGTAAAGCATAGTGCTTAGTAGTTTGTAGTCTCAGCTGTTTT